AAAAAAAAAAAAAAAAAAAAAAAACAAGACAACAGGGAAACGAAGCGGTGAGAAAACGCCATGAAACAACAAGGACAAGGCAGAAGCATACCTCCTCCTCCTCTTCTTCTTCTCCTTCTTCATCGCGGGCCGCATTCCTCTCCTCCTCCTTTTCCTCGTTTTCCTCTTGCTCCCTCTTCCTCCACGACGGGTCGCCCTTCGTGCTGCTCCCAGCGTCAACGACCCAGCGCGTTAACGCGCCAGCACCGAGGGAAGGAGCTCGGGGAGGTGATGATTCACTCGAAGACTCTCTCCTTCTGGCCTTCGCTGTCAGCGAGCGCGCCACGTCAGCACCACTCTTCACCGCCTCCGTCACTGCACCTGCCACAGGACTCACCCCGCCTATTTCCTTGAGAGCACTCTCCTTGAACTCACTAAATCCATCTTTAACAGCATCCGTTAGCCCCCCCAGGCGGGACCACATTATTGGAGATCGGGACACCAATCAACCACCTTTCTTAACAGATTGCCAACCCAAGGAGCGACGGAACGCTTGTCGTAGTCTTATCCCTCTCCCCCGTTAATTAGTCGCATTGCCCGACTCTTCTCACTTGATTCAATCACTCAATCACTGAATCAATCAATCAATCAATCAATCAATCAATCAATCAAGAAACCAATCAAAAACAATCAATCAATCAATCAATCAATCGATCGATCAAGCAATCATCCAACCAATCAATCAATCAATCACCCAATCCACTTAAGCACCCGAACAAAATCATCATGATATATCATTTGCCTGACCTGCATCACCGACATCAACCACGCTCCACCAGCCAACGACCGGAGCGACCGGCCGCCGGCCGATCTTCTTGCTAGAGCGACCAAGTGAGTGACCGATCAACCGCCCCCTCGACCAGTCGACAGGTTCTTGTTGCCGCTCCCCTCGCGCTACCGGTAGGAGCATCAAATGCGTCAAGACTTCTGCGACCAACAGCGCGACCAACGCGCGCCTTTGTTTTGCGACCAGACAGTACGACCGACTGTGCGACCAACACCTGCTTTTTTTTCCTTCGGCTGTGCGACCGGCTGTGCAACCAAGACCTGCCCTTCTCCTAGGACCAAATGTGCGGCCACCCGTGCGGCCCACAACTGCTCCCGGTTTCCTCCGGCTCATGCATGATCAATCCCGCCACGCCCTGAGCGACCAACCTGAGAGCATACACACACTAGCACAATCTTACTAAATGTACCTGACACTTATTATGGCCCTACTTGGATGTATCTGACCCCAAGTATGTTCAGAAATAAGTAAGAAGTCCTAGTGTGAGTACGACCTGCAGTGCACCCCGCCCCCTCGATTCCACCTCAGCCCTTTTCCATCAAATGAACGACACGTGGCCGCCGCAACTGCGCAAGACTATGTCGACTGACACTTGCCAAGCTTACCCGTAGCGGAACGACGCGATCGGCACAGACTTGCACCTGGGACTTGGAACTAACCCAGGATCCAAGTGCGCTCCAAGTCCGACACGACAATCCCAAAATAGTGCAACGGAAATGGCTACACTCGTTCTTAGCCCGCTACCTTTCCACAGCTAATCAACGGACTTATTCGTTATGCGGAGTTATTTGTTTATTCCTTGACTGATTGATTGACTTGCTGGACATCGGTGGGGTCACAACCCTTATCTGACGACCATTTCTGCAATCTGACTTCGAGCAAATGATCCCCCTGAGCTTGCCCCCTCTCTCTCTCTCTCTCTCTCTCTCTCTCTCTCTCTCTCTCTCTCT